TATGGGTCACAATTATCGATTTTTCTTTTATGCCAAAAATCATTAATCATTATTAAGTTAAGATCATGTTCCATAAAGATATTTTGTAATTTTCCTACCTTAAATATATCGAAAAATGTATTATCATTAGTAATATATGTTGCTAAGGACTTCATTTGGACAACTTTATAGGCGATTTTCTCAATATTTAGATTTTTTTTTTTGCACTCTCAGATTCCAAAATTTTCAAATATTTGTATCTCTGCCAAATATTATCCTATCCTAACAAAACATACATCAATGGAAAGTTCGTTTATTCAACTGATGTATAAATCTCAATTTTTAAAAAATGGACCCTTTTTTTTGTGGTCCAGGGTCACATAAATAACTTTTAACTTAAACACTAGTAAAAACTGAAAAACAAATGGTTAAAGTAAATTGCATGTTATGAATATTGTTGGTCCTGCTGATGTTTTGACAGGGCATTGGTTCCTTCAGTGTTCATTCAGTGGAGCTGGATATGGATGGGATCTCAATCATTCAGAAGAGCTCTGAACATCCTGAAGAACAGCAGACGACATAAATCTGAGTGACTTATAAATAACAATGAAACTGATATTATTTCTGTAAATATAACAATGCATTTAATACATTTTAACAGTTGTCAATCTTGGAGAATTATAAATAAAATGTATTTTTTAACTGAAATATATATAAAAAACTGACCTTAGACTAACTGGAGAAGTATAGAATACTAAGTGGCTAATAAATAACAATTAAACTAATATTATTTCTGTAAATGTATCATTTATTAATATTTATTTTTATATGCATTTCTTCCTTCAGTTTTAATAGTTTTTAATCAAAAAATGTGGGAACTTTAAAAAATTGTATCTGAAAATTGCACAATACACAAAATTGAACAACACCTTTGTACTAAATGTAAGAAACTATTATTTTCAGAAAGTGGCCATGTTGTACCTTTGCATCTTATACTTGTTTTTTTGTAACAATATACAGTTAGTACTTTGAAGATTAAATAATGATATAACATCTGTCCACTTCCAGTTGTTTAAGAGCTGTCTACAAATGGGTATGTTCTTATAAACATTTTTCGATAAAATTATGTTTACACATAATATGTACGTACTGTATAATATGCTTCTTATTTCTAAACGAGACCCTACAGTCTTTGGTCCAAAGTGTACAAAGAGTCTATTTTATCAAGTTCAGTAAGTTAATTATTTACTAAGGAGGCACTGTAGTTTGAGGTCAATTGTATCTGAAGGTATTTTATGACTGAACTTTGACTTAAAGATGTCAATATATTTCAACTTAAGTTAATAGCTTGTTTCGTAGAGCTAACATAACCTTGAACATCAGCTTTAGAAACAAATGTATCCAGTCATTTTAATTTTACTTTAACTTCAAGTGATGGAGAGATTGGTTTACATGTTGGAAGTAAACTGAAAGTAAAGACTGCTAGACTGTTGGTGGAACTAAATGTACTGTGAAACTCAGAAAAATGGACTTCGGTAAGCATTTGTTCTTTCAAAAATAATTGCATTTTCACTCATAGTAAACAGTTTTAATTAAGCAGTTTAATCTCCATATCAGGTAAGGCTACCTGTAAAGGTAAGGCTTTTAATTTTTTTCCCCCAAGAATTACAGTCATGTGTTCTTTGAATTTCCACGAGTGCAGTGATGCGTAATTGCACGCCGTTTCCCTTTCCAGGTGTGTGCATGCACACAAGAAAAATATTTAGCATATTAATTGATTTAGAAGGCCAGTAGTACGTGTTAAATATATTTTTATGAATAACTATAATTACTTAAAAGACATCATTCTGTATGCAGAGATGGGCACAAATAAACAAAAATTTATTTAAAATGAAAATACAAAATACCTTAGTTTAAATATATTAAAATAAATACAAAATACTGTGTAGAATACATGTATCAAATACAGTACTTGGCATTTTGAAAATGCACAAAATATATTCAAAATGAGGTATTGGATGAATTAGACCGAAATCTGGACCTTGTCTCAATGTAAAGAACATTTTGCAACTGCTTATTATTATTATTTTATATACTTACCTCTTTCTTCCCGTCCCATGCCCAGTAGGAAATAAGACGGAAAAGGGTTTGTTTGTTCTTTAATGATAGCTAGTGAACTCGCTAATGATAGTTAGACTAGCTCATAGCTGGCTGCTGACTAATGATTTATTCACTGTTGATACTGTGATTAACGATCGACTAATGAGCTTCGTTTGACGGTCAGGAATATAAAAATGAACAAAATGCTGTCAATCTACAATTCTCCACCGTATTTACTATGCTGTGTGCAACCTCATGTAACTCAAAAACTTGCGTACACGAGCTGAGAGCAGACGTGAGATTTGATCGTAGCCACCGCTCACGTCCATATTGATCAATTCCACGTTTTGCGTTGAAACGACCGTACGCTCAATTTTCTGTCGTACGTTCGTTTCGTAAATGAGGCCCATTGTATTGACTGGCGAGAAGTATCCTAACTACCTTAATATTTTAATGGAAATTAAATAACAGTTGGCAGCAATTATGATGTTTTGCAAGTAGTAGAATCAACCACCACATCCTCTCCTTACTTCCAGAAATTTTGGAATCCAAGAATCAATTCCAAACTAATATTTCCGATTCTTATTGCTTATTGAGTTGTGTGATAGAGATCATGTGTGATTACAAGAGACTGTTTTCAGCAATGTTGGCCAGTAGAGTCACTACAAAAACTGAAACTTGATGTGCTGATCACTGAAATTATCAAAAATAGTAAATAAAATTTACTATGGATTATAATTAGCACTGTTTTAAAAAGCTGAACGCCATTCATAAATAATACTTTTGTATTATAAACGATATTCAGTTTTCAAGCAAACTCATTATTACTGTGAACTATTTAAAAAAAAAAAGCATAAATAATCTATAAAAGAAACCAATTTTTTTATATTTAAAATACTATTGTTTGTTGGTCAAGAATGCTTGAAAACTGCTTATCAATTCATGTATGTTGTTTATAATCCAAATGCACAGATTCAGCTTCACATTTGTGTCCTGATCACCCTGATTAAATTTTTTTTTTAATAATGACTGTACATTATCCCTTACTCCATAACTTAAAGATTGTATTAAATGTAGCATATATAGAGCAGATATTTACAGATTCTCAATATTACATCATTTTCGATCAGTGTGTTTTATTCTCTGTTGCAGGTGATGCTCAACATCTCTCAGAGCTGAGGATTGTGTTAATGGGGTATAGAGCTGCTGGTAAGAGTTCAACAGGAAACGCCATCCTGGGCAGAGAGGAGTTTGACTTGAAGACATCTGTTCAGTGTGTGAGGAGACATGGAGAAGTTGCAGACAGACACATCACTGTCATTGAAGCTCCAGGATGGTGGAGGAGTTACACTGTAGAGGAGAGCTCTGAGTTACTGAAACAGGAGATTTTGCTCAGTGTGTCTCTGTGTCCTCCAGGACCACACGCTGTACTACTGATCATACGTGCAGACTACATATTAAAAGAGACTGTGAGAAAAGCAGTGCAGGGGCATCTGGATCTTCTCGGTGAGAGAGTCTGGAGTCACACTATAGTGCTGTTCACTCATGGAGACTCTCTGTTAGACACATCTATAGAGCAGCACATTGAGAGTGAAGGGCAGGATCTACAGTGGCTGCTGGACAAATGTGGGAACAGGTATCATGTTCTCAGTAATCAGAACAGGAGTGACGACACTCAGATCAAGGAGCTGCTGGAGAAGATTGAGGAGACAGTGGCACAAAACAACGGCTGCCATTTTGAAATAGACAGAAAAATCTTAGAGATGAAAGAAAGAAGAAGAGCAGCAGAAGAGAGAGCAAAAGAACGAATGAAGAGGATGAAAAAACTAAAAGATGACATCAGATCACAGATGAGTGAGTCTAAAATGTACTTTTTATGGAACTAGAGACACAACAACAGCACAAAAATCAAAGTAAGGTCCCCAATGGACTGTATGTACACTAACTGCCTACATATTTAAGTAGAAAATATTTTCACAGAAATACATATTTCCTGCCTACATATCCCATAGAAAACTCTAGTAGTAGCAAAGTTCCCTATAGATACTTCACTCCTACTGCGTCTGCTAAGACGCTATGGGGAAAACTCCTTTTTCTCCGATGACTGAAGCTTTTTCAATAATGTAGTGTAACTGCACGGCCATTAGTTTGTGCAGTAAATTAAAAACAAACTAATGGCTTGGCAGCGGAGCGGGCCCATCTGGCTATATAAGTGGGCATGTCGCCATAGGATTCTCAGATTTCTTCTCCTTCAGCGACGACGACGATCTTCACTGAGACTTGAAACTTCGTAGTTGAAACGCCTCGCAGCGTATCAAGACCTCTCCAATCGCCTGATCTCGCCGCTTTTCGCAGCCGCCTTCAGCGCCCGCAATAGCGCCGGTCTTCCCGATCCCCTGCCACCATCCGGCAATCTCAAAAGAGCTAATTTTAAAGAGCAAATTTGTGACGTTGTTGCAAATAACGCCCCGTTTCTGTCGCTCGTGCAGTGCTCCCCTGCACACCGCTGACGGTCACGGCGAGTGCATCTCCCACGCTGAGGATGCGTTCAAGGCGACTAAATGTCCTCATTGCGAGGATATGAGTCTCTCCTCTCTGCGCTCGCAGGCAGCTTTCTTTTCAGAAAGTAACCCCGCCCATCGCGCCCTCCCATTTTCTTCCTCCCAGGAGCCTGCGAGGAAAAAACAGCGGGGCAGAAGACCTTTGACAACAGCATGTCGTTAGTGGCTTTGGATGCAGAGGAGCTGTCAGGCTCAATCAACGACCCCACCCACCTGCCGCCTACGGAGCACAGCGAGCCCAAGCCAGGCATGGACGCCGAGCTGATCCGTGTCCTGTCTAAATCTGTGGAGGAGCTGGGACTGGAGTGGTCTCCAGACTCGCAGCCGCCTGGATGAATGGTTCCTGCCGGAGCGCTGCCAGGCCCCTCATCAATGAGCGTCACCATTCTTCCCAGAAGTTCATGATGAACTTGCCAAGTCGTGGCACGCCCCTTACTCGGCTCACCTACATGCCTCCTCTTCCTCCACCCCCACGACGGTTGACGGCGCTGAAGAGAAGGGGTACGATAAAATGCCTCCCCTGGATGAGTCTGTAGCCACACATATCTGCCCGCCCACGGCTATCGGCTGGAAGGCGAAGGTCGCCCACCTGTCCAAACCATGCAGGACGACTTTGGCCCTCGCCGGAAGGGCCTACGCGTCTGCTGGAGAAGCGGCCTCAGCATTCGATGCTATGGCGGTATTACAGGTCTATCAAGCCAAACTTCTCCAAAGCATGGATGAGTCCGGCCCAGACCTCACAGCTTTTAAGGAGCTGCGTAGCACGACCGACCTGGCTTTACGCACCACCAAGACCACGGCCCAGGCGATCGGCAGGTCAATGGCCAGCTAAGTGGTGCTTGAACACCACTTATGGTTGACCTTAACGGAGATTAAGGTTGCGGACAAGGTCCTCTTCAATCAAACACAAACATTTTCAAAAAGAGAGCATTTCCTTTTCCGCTTACCACGAGTGTTGGGTCCCCACAAGGTGATCCTGCATCCGACTTAATCCAACCCCTTGCCACACGGGCCGAGGCCTGGCAGGCCATCCCGGAGTGTCAGACTGGGTTCTGGGTATAATAAAACGAGGTTACACTCTTCAGTTTGTTCGAAGAACCCCACGCTTCCACGGCGTGGGCCCCATATTGGTTCAAAGCAAGGATGCTCACGTGACGACCGAGGTGATGAAAGTGTGCAAGTGTGCCCAGGTGACTGGTTCTTTTCTCTGGATCTGAAAGATATGTACTTTCACATCCAGATAGCCCCCATCACTGACAGTTCTTGAGATTTGCCTTTGAGAGAGTGGCATATCAATACACGGTCCTTCCATTTGGACTGTTCCTAGCTTTCACCTCTGAGACAATGGGAATCCGCGTTCTGAATTACCTTGACGACTGACTCGTTTTAGCCCATTTGGAGGATGAGCTACTATCTCACAGATCCTTTCTCCTCAGCCACTTGGAATGTCTGCGGCTCAGGGTCAATTTTGCGAAGAGCGCTCTGTCTCCCAGCCAACGCATATCGTTTCTGAGAGCAGTTTTTGACTTTGCCCATATGAGGGCAACAGTCGCGCCAGAATGTGCTCTGGCTATCCAACAGCTCAGAGAGAGTGGGCTGGGTGTGAGGGGTCCAAGGTGATTTTTTTAGCCCTTTTCCTCACTCTGGAGATGTAAAGATCTTGGAGGCTGGGCAGAGGGGCACCAATAATCCTCTCAGCAGTCCTGACTGTCCGTTGTAGTCTCTTGATGTCTGATTTGGTAGCTGAACCAAACCAGACAGTTATGGATGAGCACAGGACAGACTCAATGATGGCAGAGTAGAACTGTTTAAGCAGCTCTTGTGGCAGGTTGAATTTCCTCAGCTGGCGAAGGAAGTACAACCTTTACTTTAGTGTTCAGGCCCTAGTTCACACTGACTAAACAAACTCTAACAAACACCAGCCTCCAGTGACTCTTGGGTTTTGTTGGATCAGTGTGTCAAACCTGTTAGTGTTTATTGCTCAAGAATGCTCAAAATCTACACTTATTTCATGTACATCATTGTGGTAAGGTTCAATAGGGTGGAAGGAAGAAGACAGGGTCGGCGTACTGGGACGCGAGCTTTATTTTAAAGTCTCTCAGTGCACACAACAGAAAACGGCGCCCACTGCGCTACCAATCTCACAGTCAATAACTCATAACACAACTCGACGTATGCCTCGTGCTTCTATGACCCATCTCCCCGGGTGGCTCGCATTCCCAGTCAGTCTCTCTCCCATCCATGTTCCAGGTGGCCCCTTTTATCCGGTCTCTCCACACCAATTACTGAAACGAGACACAGGTGTTTATCATTTGCGCTAGACCTACTTATGCACGCTCGTCTCCTGCCTCTCTCTCCCAATGCAGACCTCGCTGAACCACGCCCCCCCATTCCTGGAGAGGAAGTTAGCTACCGCCATCTGTACCCCCAGCCTGTGGACCACCTTGAATTTGAAGGGTTGCAATGCTAGATACCAACGGGTGATCCGCGCGTTGGTATCCTTCATGCAGTGGAGCCACTGCAGGGGCAAGTGGTTCGGGCAGAGGGTGAAATCCCGTCCCAGGAGATAATAGCGGAGGGTGAGGACGGCCCATCTGATCGCCAGACATTCCTTCTCAATGGTGCTGTACATCGTCTCCCTCTTTGAGAGCTTCCGACTGATGTACAGCACTGGCCGTTCCTCCCCCTCTATCTCCTGGGACAGGACCGCTACCAGCCCCCTGTTCAACGCGTCAGTCTGCAATAAAAAGGGGAGAGAGAAGTCAGGGATTGACCTAATTAATGCAGCCTAAAAATCCTTTAACGGATTTGAATATTAGAAGCGTATTAGTGTGTTTTGTGTAAGCCAGGTTAAAGAGATGGGTCTTTAATCTAGATTTAAACTGCAAGAGTGTGTCTGCCTCCCGAACAATGTTAGGTAGGTTATTCCAGAGTTTGGGCGCTAAATAGTCAAGTCAAGTTTATTTGTACATCGCTTTTCACCATACAAATCATTGCAAAGTAACTTTACAGCAAATTAAGTTTCTACAATATTTAGTAATTTAGGTGTTTATCATTTGCGCTTGACCTACTTACGCACCGCTCGCCTCCAGCCCCTATCTCCCGATGCAGACCTCGCTGAACCACGCCCCCCTCGCCACAGTCATTTATAATACAAACCTAAATGCTCAGCATCTTCTCAGGGTCCAGATCACACTGTCGGGGTTTGTGATAATGACTGTAAATGATCACTTACTTAATTTATTATTTAGGGATTTCATTAAAGGTAAATAGAGCAGATATTTACAGATACTCAGTACAATATCATGTTTATTGAATGTGTTTGTTCCTTATTTGTTGCAGGTGTTGCCCAACATCTCTCAGAGCTGAGGATTGTGTTAATGGGGTATAGAGAAGCTGGTAAGAGTTCAACAGGAAACACCATCCTGGGCAGAGAGGAGTTTGACTTGAAGACATCTGTTCAGTGTGTGAGGAGACATGGAGAATTAGCAGACAGACACATCACTGTCATTGAAGCTCCAGGATGGTGGATGAATTACACTGTAGAGTACTGTCCTGAGTTACTGAAACAGGAGATTCTGCTCAGTGTGTCTCTGTGTCCTCCAGGACCACACGTTGTACTACTGATCATACGTGTGGACTACATATTAAAAGAGACTGTGAGAAAAGCAGTGCAGGGGCATCTGGATCTTCTCGGTGAGAGAGTCTGGAGTCACACTATAGTGCTGTTCACTCATGGAGACTCTCTGTTAGACACATCTATAGAGCAGCACATTGAGAGTGAAGGGCAGGATCTCCAGTGGCTGCTGGACAAATGTGGGAACAGGTATCATGTTCTCAATAATCAGAACAGGAGTGACCACACTCAGATCAAGGAGCTGCTGGAGAAGATTGAGGAGACAGTGGCACAAAACAACGGCTGCCATTTGGAAATAGACAGAAAGATTTTACAAGAGATGAAAGAGAGAAGAAGAGCAGAGGAAGAGAGAGCAAAAGAACGAATGAAGAGGATGGAAAAACAAAAAGATGACATCAGATCACAGATGAGTGAGTCTAAAATATAGTTTTCATGGAAATTAGGGACACAACAACAGCACAAAAATCAAAGTAAGGTCCAATGGACTGTATGCACACTAACGGCCTACATATTTAAATAGAAATTCTTTTCACAGAAATACATATTTCCTGCCTACATATCCCATAGAAAACTCTAGTAGTAGCAACGTTTTTCTGTCATGTTTCTCATCACTGTCGATCACAAACAATTATGATATAATATATACTGTATATGTACACTGTAAAAACAATCTCCTTATTTTTACAAGAAAAAAAAGATAAAAGAAAAGAAAAAATTATTAATTTGGCAGCTGTGGTTCCCAGAATAATTAAAAAAATAAAATAAATACAATTAAAAATGTGAAATTCATTTTAAAATTAATTCATTTTAGTTTCATTTTAAGCCAGTAAATTTGACAATGCACACTGCTACTAAAATGTGTTTTTTAACTTTAACATATACTGACAACCACCATAATAATGCAGATGGTAAAACAGGAAGCCACATGAAGAATAATGAATGTCATCATAACAGGGGCGTGTCTACATGGTGGCCAGGGGTGGCACCGGCCCCCCCTGAAATCTGTTTGGCCACCCCGGTACACCCCCCCCCCACCAGATGTCTTGCGATTGGCTTGTTTTTATTAAATTTCTAAGTGTATCTGGCAGTGGTGGGTCCTGGCATGGGCAATATGGGCGACTACCTAAGGCGGCTTTCTTCTCTTCTATATACTTCTCTAATTTTAGGCAGTTTCTATAGCGTTATCTTACAGACAAAATGTCGAGAGTGCAGTAATGTAACGCGATAGCACATCCATGAAATGCGCAAGCACGAATCTCTCCACTCAAAAGCATTTCCTTCACTCTCACAAAACTGGACGTGCACATTTAAAGGGGTCATATAACGTTGCTAAAAAGAACATTATGCTGTGTATTTGGTGTAATGCAATGTGCTTATGCGGTTTAAGGTTCAAAAAACACATTATTTTCCACATACTGTACATTATTGTTGCTCCTCTATGCCCCACCTTTCTGAAACGCATCGATTTTTACAAAGCTCATCGTTCTGAAAAGCGAGGTGTGCTCTGATTGGCCAGCTATCCAGTGCGTTGTGATTGGCTGAATACCTCAAGCGTGTGACGGAAATGTTACGCCCCTTACCATACTGTGATGCTGTGTCCAGGCGTGACGAGACAAAATCTTGTAAATACAACTTAACCACTTATTTCTAGTCGTGTCCTCTTTTGGAAGGCAAAACAAAGTTGTTTCGCTTTCACAACTAAACACAGCGTCTCCATGACATGACGGCGACGGCAACAATACCACAGCGAGAATCAAAGTTACGCCTTCTTTCTTTACGTGAATATTTGGGATGTGTTATGCAAATCTTCCCACACAGTGACGTAGACATGTGGGTGCATGTTTAAACGAGGCGTTTTAGGAGGGCGTGGATGAGTCTTAACTTTTATAAAGAATATCTCTTTGGGTTTGAGACTTTAGTCTTTGCAACTTTAGGGATCTTATCTATCCATGAACAGCTTGTAACACTCCAAAGAGAAAGGACAATTTTAAATCGCTTCATATGGCCCCTTTAAATAGACAGTGTTCTCTTATGAATTGGCTCTGCTCCCGCTCAAATATTGCGTGTCTGCGCTCAAACTTTGTACTTGCATCATTGAAGACCAAGAGCTTTTTTAATTCAGGTGAAGAGTAGGCTTATCCCACTAAATGGAAGCAAGTTGATTATAGTCAGCCTTCTGTAGTTATTTATTTTATTATGTAATACTTATTTAAGTTAAGTTCATATTGTAAATATGCATTTATTAAATTATTTTATTTAGTGCATTTGTATTTTGTTCTTTTTGTAGTTCTACAATAAAAGCGTATCAACCAGGCCCGGTTCCACAAATAAATCACTGAGGTGCTTCTGAAATTAGTTAGGGTTCTTTAGGCTTAATGCACATTTTCACATATTTTGTCCTATCCATTGCTGTGGTTATCACTATGTCAATCACTGCTATTTCGAGAGTGAATCCCGCATAAATATGCAGATGCCATTCCCGAAACTTTTCCAAGTGTGTGCGGCTAAAAAAACTAAAGTTCAGCATTTTGAATGGATTATAGCCTAGAAAGCTAGCAAAGAGCGCTCCCTTTATAATCACTAAAAAGCTGTCACTCTTTGTTCATTGCGATCTCTGTTATGAATCTCTCTACACTGCGCTATCAATCTATTTACATTGTGTATACACTTGGTATGTTAAAATGAGAGGATTCGATTGTATAACTCAGCACGGAACAAAAACTGGTGTGTGTTGCAGCCTTTAGGTGTGTGACAAAACCAGCATATACGTACCATCATGAGGATGATGAAAATGTTTTCATTTGAGTAAAGTCCCTTTAAGTGCTTTTCTTCATTGAATATGTAAATTTTTTCATGTGGTAACATCTAATTTATTTGATTTTATTCAACCCAAAAATATTAACCTAATTAATCTATACATTAGATTGCTGTGATAAAATTAAATTTAAGGATTAGATCAGGTAGAAATAGCACCCTAAGATAACATTTGCAGGTTAGCACTTCTTAGTAGTGTACCAGAGATTCTACAATGTTTTTTTTCTCATCATGCTCATTTTGGCATCACGCCCCTGCATCATAAGAAACTTTTCCACAAGCTGAAGTATATACTATTATGCAGATGCAGAGTCGTTCATGCAAAACAAAACAGCATCATAGTAGCTCACATGACACTTAAATAATGCAATAAACATTAAATATCAGAAGATGTAACAGTAAAACCCAAATTTGCAGAACTGATAACAAAAACTATTAAAAAAACATGATTATTTAAACAAAATACCTTCAAATGTAAAGTTTCATGCAGGGAATTCTAGGAATGTCAGTTTATAGTTTTTGACTGTCAGTTATATGTTGATTTGTTCTTTTTTTACTTCTATAAATTGTACAATTGACAGCATTTTACTGAATGCTGCCTCATTGGGATCTAATGTGTCCCTATTCCTAAAGTCCACCCTTAACTTTAACCACACTGAACCTGCTGATCAGCAAAGATGTCCTCGAAGGTTAAGGAAGGAAGCCACGATTTTCAGCATGGTAGCAATATGAGCTGCACGCATCTCAGTCGATGTGTCAGTCTGTCGGATCACCGTGGGGACACCACATCCAATTTCAGTGATATGTCTATTAAATACCTGTTAAACTGCATTCTCACTGCCAGCGACTTGTTGATGCGTGTCACTCGTCTCTGTGCTGGAGTTGGGTATAGCTGCAACTCAGAGATCTTCAAGAGGAAATGTTTATTTTATAAAGAATGCAAATGAAATCATATAGTTCATAAGCATTCTTGTTATCATTGTAACTATTTGAAAGAAAGCAACTATTCTTAAGGAAAGACATTTCTTTTCCAAACATTACACCCATCTGAACACTTCAGTAACCTCCCCATTCAGACGAAGACAGACAAAGACTTTAGTGTTCAGGCCCTAGTTCACACTGACTAAAACTCTAACAAACACCAGCCTCCAGTGACTCTTGGGTTTTGTTGGATCAGTGTATCAAACCTGTTAGTGTTTATTGCTCAAGAATGCTTAAAATCTACACTTATTTCATGTACATCATTTATAATACAAACCTCAGCATCATATCATGGTCCAGAACACACTGTCGGGGTTTGTGATAATGACTGTACATGATCACTTACTTATTTTATTACTTAGGGATTTAATTAAAGGTATATAGAGCAGATATTTACAGATACTCAGTACAATATCATGTTGATTGAATGTGTTTGTTCCTTATTTGTTGCAGGGGATGCCCAAAATCTCTCAGAGCTGAGGATTGTGTTAATGGGGTATAAACGTGGTGGTAAGAGTTCAACAGGAAACACCATCCTGGGCCGAGAGGAGTTTGATTTGAAGAGATCTGCTCAGTGTGTGAGGAGACATGGAGAAGTAGCAGACAGACACATCACTGTCATTGAAGCTCCAGGATGGTGGAGGAGTTACACTGTAGAGAACAGTCCTGAGTTACTGAAACAGGAGATTTTGCTCAGTGTGTCTCTGTGTCCTCCAGGACCACACGCTGTACTACTGATCATATGTATGGACACTAGATTTAAAGAGACTGAGAGAAAAGCAGTGCAGGGGCATCTGGATCTTCTCGGTGAGAGAGTCTGGAGTCACACTATAGTGCTGTTCACCTTTGGAGACTATCTGTTAGACACATCTATAGAGCAGCACATTGAGAGTGAAGGGCAGGATCTCCAGTGGCTGCTGGACAAATGTGGGAACAGGTATCATGTTCTCAACAATCAGAACAGGAGTGACCACACTCAGATCAAGGAGCTGCTGGAGAAGATTGAGGAGACAGTGGCACAAAACAACGGCTGCCATTTGGAAATAGACAGAAAAATCTTAGAGATTAAAGAGAGAAGAAGAGCAGCAGAAGAGAGAGCAAAAGAACGAATGAAGAGGATGAAAAAACAAAAAGATGACATCAGATCACAGATGAGTGAGTCTAAAATTTACTTTTTATGGAACTAGAGACACAACAACAGCACAAAAATCAAAGGTCCCCAATGGACTGTATGTACACTAATTGCCTACATATTTAAGTAGAAATAATTTTCACAGAAATACATATTTCCTGCCTACATATCCCATAGAAAACTGTAGTAGTAGCAAAGTTCCCTGTCGATACTTTTTTATGGGGAAAACTCCTTTTTCTCCGATGACTGAAGCTTTTTCAATAATGCAGTGTAACTGCACGGCCATTGGTTTGTGCAGTAAATAAAAAATGAGCCAATGGCTCGGCAGTGGAGCTGGGACTGGAGTGGACCCCGCCAGAAGAGCCCATGGTTCCTGCCGGGGCGCCGCCAGGCCCCTCATCAATGAGCGTCACCATTCTTCCCGAAAGTTCATGATGAACTCGCCAAGTCGTGGCACGCCCCTTACTCGGCTCACCTACGTGCCTCCTCTTCCTCCGCCCCCACGGCGGTCGACGGCGCTGAAGAGAAGGGGTACGATAAAATGCCTCCCCTGGATGAGTCTGTGACAACACATATCTGCCCGCCCACGGCTATCGGCTGGAAGGCGAAGGTCGCCCACCTGTCCAAACCATGTAGGACGACTTTGTCCCTCGCCGGAAGGGCCTACGCGTCTGCTGGAGAAGCGGCCTCAGCACTCGATGCTGTGGCGGTCCTACAGGTCTATCAAGCCAAACTTCTCCAAAGCATGAGTCCGGCCCACACCTCGCAGCTTTTAAGGAGCTGTGTAGAGTGACCGACCTGGCTTTACGCGCCTCCAAGACCACGACCCAGGCGATCGGCAGGTCAATGGCCAGCTAAGTGGTGCTTGAACACCACTTATGGTTTACCTTAATGGAGATTAAGGTTGCGGACAAGGTCCTCTTCCTGGACTCCCCAGTCTCCCCCCTGCGGTTGAGGGATTCGCCAAGCACTTCACTGCTGCACAGAAGTCATCCCAGGCCATGCGACACTTCCTTCCCAAGCGCTCCAGCTCTATGGCTGCTTCTAGTCGCCCCAAATCAGCACCGACCCGGCAGCCCATACCTCCAGCCGCCCAGGCATCTCCCAAGCCTGAGCCTCGCCAGCACTCCCGCTCTGCCATATGCTACCTATTTCTGAAGCGTCAGGGACCCCAGCCCAAGTTAGTGCTGGACCCAGCGCCTCATGCGCCCTCCTGATCTGCGGGAAAAGTACAGGAGGGGGCCAAGTCTCGCTTCAGCCAGACCTACCCCCAAGCAGCCTCTGTTGTGCCTCCAAGTACCCTGTTCAGTTCCGGGTGCCGATGGTAGTGTGTTTGTGAACACTGGGCCCCATTCAAAAAAGCGCCTACACAACCAGCCGCTGTTATAGTGGAAAAAATAAAACACAAACATTTTCAAAAAGAGAGCATTTCCTCTTCCATTTACCACGAGCTCTGTCTCCCAGCCAACGCATATCGTTTCTGGAAACAGTTTTTGACTCGGCCCAAATGAGGGCAACAGTCGTGCCAGAACGTGCTCTGGCTATACAACAGCTCGCGGCCTCTTTCAAAATAGGAGTCTCTCGCCCCCTCAAGGCATTTCAGAAGATGCTAGGTCTTATGGCCTCCGCATCTCCAGTACTACAGCTTGGCTTGCTCCGTATGTGGCCCCTTCAGTACTGGCTGAATTCGCTAGTTCCGTCCCACGCCTGGCGTTGCGGACGCCTTCATATCAAGGGGAACCAGGCCTGTGTGGAAGGAATGGTTTGCTGAAGGAAGGTAGGTCTCGGCAGACCCTTCCAACATGGGTTGGGGAGCGCTGTGCGACAACGAACCGGCTTTCGGCCTCTGGTCAAAAGAAGAAGGACGGCTACACATCAACTGCCTGGAGATGCTGGCAGTGCATTTGGGCCTTTGCACCTTCTTGCCAGACCTAAGGGAACACCATGTCCTAGTCCGTTCGGACAGCATGACGGTAGTGTCCTACATAAATCGCCAAGGAGGACTCTCCTCGAGGCGCCTCTTTACTCTCTGGTAGAGTGCCTCTTAGAATGGGCTCAGCTCAACTTGCGTTTGCTGAGAAGACCCAGCTTCATGCGACATATCTCTGATATTGTCCTTCCTGCAAGAGCTATTGGAAAAGGGCCATTCCCCTTCCATGGTCAAGGTCTATGTAGCAGCTATGGCAGCCTATCACGCTGCTATAGCAGGCCAATCGGTGGGCAGGAACAACCTGTTTGTTCGTTTCTTGAAAGGGTCTAGGAGGCTTAACCCGCCTCACCCCGCCACAGTCCCAACATGGGATCTGTCCACAGTGCTGAGGACTCTAAGGAGCCCTCCCTTTGAGTCGCTACAATCCGTTGACCTTCGTCCCGATGCTAAAAACCGTTCTGCTACTGGCGTTAGCTTTGGTAAAGCGGATGGGAGATCTACAGACTCTCTCTGTGAGCCCCTCTTGCCTGGAATTCGGGCCCAACAACTCTAAGATCGTACTGAAACCAAAGCTACACATACCTAAGGTGCTCTTCACTCCATTCAGAGCACAGGTGATAACTCTATCAGCGCTTCCTCCCTTGGAGGAAGACCAGAAGTTAAAACTACTCTGCCCCGTCAGGGCATTGAAGATCAATATCGAGTGTTCCACCCCAATCAGGCAGTTGGAACAACACCTTATATGCTTTGGTGGCGGCACCAGAGGGATTCCAGTCACTAAGCAGAGACTCTCCAAATGGGTAGTTGACGCTATTGCATTAGCTTACTCCTCTTTGGGCCTACACTGCCCCATGGGGGTAAGATCTCATTTGACTAGAGGCATGGCCTTGTCTTGGGCTTGTCTAGTGGTGTGTCCATTGCAGGAATCTGTGCGGTGGCCGGCTGGGCCTCGCCGTCCACATTTGCCAGGTTCTATAATCTGGACATCCCGACCTTACAGGGCCGGGTCCTTCTGCTTAATGGGCTCGATCTTGCCTCAGGGCAAAAACCAGTCTTAGGCTTGCCTACCTGCGCTCTTGGCCCTCAAAGTGTGCCGAGGCTGTAGATTTTCTTCCTGGAACTTTTACTTATGACTGGACTGACCTGTACGAGTTTAACCCTATTACCTCCTGTGGGGCTTCCCTGCTAAATTATTTGTCCCTCTGGGGCCCTTGTGGTTCTTTAGGCAAGTATGAGTCGTTCCTCTAAGCATAGCAAGGCGGGATTGTACTGGTCCCCATAGCGTCTTAGCATACACAGTACGAGTGAAGTATCGATAGAGAACGTATTCGGTTACAAACATAATTTCGGGTTCCCTGAGATACGGGAATGAGTACTGCATACTTAGCTGTGCTATGCAGCTGCACAACTCAGTTGTCGCTTCAGTCGAAGTAACCTGACAATCCTATGGCGACATGCCCGCTTAAATAGCCAGATGGCCCCGCCCATGTTGGCGGGCTCTGGCGAGCTTCATCGCCATAGGCTCATGAAGCGGCACGCAACAGCCGCTTGCTTTAGTTAAAAATAACAGTGTTCTGTGAATGTTGATGCTTTAATATCAAATATTTATCGGGAGCGTGTATGCTGGGATTTCATGGAGAAAAAAGTAACGTAACTAGTAATGTAACTAATTACTTTTGAAATAAAGTAATCACAACAGTAACGTGATTACTTTTAAAAGGAGTAATCCGTAATCAGTAATTTAATTACATTTTCAGAGTAACTTGCCCAACACTGATCAGCTGACCTGAGAGAACTAGTGGGTGTATGGGTGTAGCAGCTCAGAAATGAAGGGTAGGGCAAGACCATTTAGGAATTTAAAAACAAATAAAATAATTTTAAAATGGATCCTAAAATGTACGGGCAGCCAGTGAAGTGAGGCTAAAATGGGGGAAATGTGCTCAGATTTTCCACAAGCTGAAGTATATACTATTATACAGATGCACAGAGTTCTTCATGCAAAACAAAGCAGCATCATAGTAGCTCAATGCAATAAACATTAAACAACAGAAGATGTAACATAAAACCCCATTGTGCAGAACTTATAACAAAAACTATTAAAAAAACATGATTATTTAAACAAAATACCTTCAAATGTAAAGTGTCATGCAGGGAATTCTTACAGTTTTTGACTGTCAATTTTGTGTTGATTTGTTCTTTTTTTTTTTACCTTTAAAATCTGTACAATTGACAGAATTTTACAGTAAAATTACATGAAATGTCTGGTTAGATCTTTTACAGTTTTTCCTTGTATCAAGTACAGGAACTTACTGTTAACCTATTAAGTTTTCTTTTTCCGTAGCATCTTCGCAATATTTTACAGTTAAAATTACACGCTCATTAAGCGTAAAGAGCAAAAAAAAAAAAAAGAAGTATTTTTTTTTGCATTGAATAAATAGTAGTTTGGTGTTATTTAGAGGAAATAGTGGCAGATAGAATTTGCACCTCAAAGTATTGTGTGTAGTACAATATAAAAGTATATTTATTCAAATCATGAATGAATGCTGCCTCATTGGGATCTAATGTGTCCCTATTCCTGAAGTCCACCCTTAACTTTAACCACACTGAACCTGCTGATCAGCAAAGATGTCCTCGAAGGTTAAGGAAGGAAGCCACAATTTTCAGCATGGTAGCAATATGAGCTGCACGCGTCTCAGTCCATGTGTCAGTCTGTCGGATCACCGTGGGGACACCACATCCAATTTCAGTGATATGTCTATTAAATACCTGTTAAACTGCATTCTCACTGCCAGCGACTTGTTGATGCGTGTCACTCGTCTCTGTGCTGGAGTTGGGTATAGCTGCAACTCAGAGATCTTCAAGAGGAAATGTTTGTTTTATAAAGAATGCAAATGAAATCATATAGTTCATAAGCATTCTTGTTATCATTGTAACTATTTGAAAGAAAGCCACTATTCTTATGAAAAGACATTTCTTTTCTAAACATTACACCCATCTGAACACTTCAGTAACCTCCCCATTCAGACGGAAGACAGACAAAGACTTTACTTTAGTGTTCAGGCCCTTGTTCACACTGACTAAACAAACTCTAACAAACACCAGCCTCCAGTGACTCTTGGGTTTTG